CTGACGTAGTTTGCCGATTAAAAAAATCGTTGTACGATCGGATTAAAACAAGCTCCATTTACATGGAACAAAACTTTTACCCAAGCGATGTTTGATTTGGGATTCAAGACAATCAAAACAGATCGATGCGTTTTCATAAACGAAGATAAGTCAATAATATTCGGACTATTCGTTGATGACGGACTTGTCATAGGAAAAGACAAGAAAAAGATCGAAGTTATTTTGAAAAAACTTGAAACCAAATTTGAAATGAAAAAGAATGTAAATCCAAGTACTTATCTGGGTATGGAAATAAAAAACTCAAAAGAAGGAATAATTCTTACTCAGAGATCTTACATAAATGACGTACTGGAAAAATACAACATGAAAAATGCCAAACCTTGTGACACGCCCGCAAGTAGCGATTCAAAGTCTACATAGGAAACTGCCCAGGAGAAGGAATATCCCTATAGGGAAGCAGTAGGAAGTTTACTGTATCTACCAGAACCAGGCCGGATATCGCACAAGCGGTCAATCAAGTTAGCAGGAAGGTCGAAAACCCCACTAGAGAAGACGTCACAAAAGTCAAGAAAATATTCAAATATTTAGTGGGAACCAAAGAGAAAGGCATTTTGTTCAAACGAAACAAACCAATAGAGAAAATCGATGCTTACAGCGACTCAGATTATGCTGGAGACCCATTGACGCGAAGAAGCACTTCTGGCTCCGTGCTAATGATAGCCGATGGACCAATATCATGGGCATCCAAGAGACAGCCTATAGTAGCGCTATCGTCGACTGAAGCTGAGTACATAGCCGCAGCAGACTGTTGCAAAGAGGCATTGTATCTCAAATCTCTATTACAAGAAATAACCGGTTTGGACATAAAAATAAATTTGCATGTTGATAATCAAAGTTCGATTCAACTTGTGAAGTCTGGATCCTTCAACAAAAGGTCGAAGCACATAGACGTGCGGTACCATTTCATACATGAACATTTTGTGCATGGATTAATAAATATTAGCTACTGTCCCACAGAAATTCAGTTAGCTGACATAATGACAAAACCATTATCAAAAATAAAACTTGAAAGACACTACAAGATTAATGCATATATAGTAACGTGTCTCGGCAACATGAGTGAACATCAGGAGAAGGTGTTGGAAGGTCATGGTGCTGTCCACATATAATTGTCTTTGATGCACTGCATTTAAATTTGGAATATCTTTATTTTATTTTTACATGTGCGGTGTCATTTAATTCAGTTCATATATTTTCTCTTACTAGTAAACACAATGTTTTACAATTTATTTTGCATTTTAATTAATTGCTTTAGCCACTAGTCCACCCTATTACTTAGCGTGTTTACCTTTATTTTCCTTCCAGCAGTTTGAACAAATTTTATGGTGTTTGTGTTTAAAGATATTACCTCTTCGTTTACAAACTTTACACGATGCATATAAAGCTTCTTCTTGAATAGAGGATTCAGGTTGTCGTCATTGGTTTTATTGTGATTATGGCGAGCTTCGTATTCTTCGATTATTTTAATTTTAAGCTCTTCAGGCTTAGGAAGAACATCTCGTGATTCAATAGCGACTCTGAAGTTCTCGTATGGGTTGGGTGTGAGTCAAACGCACCTGAATTTGATGATACTGATTGTGCAGGAGTCTCGGGGACCCTTGATTGGAACACCTCCAAGTGATTTTAGCTTTAGGATAAGCGTCAAAGTATTTAAAAAAAATTTTTTTAACTTTTGTGAATTGTATTGAAATTTGTAAACAATCCGCCATTATCTAACTACTTTTCTATTGGTTATAAGAGATGTGACATTCTCGATTTCTATTGGTTATAAGTGATGTGTCATTGTCGTTTTCTATTGGTTATAAGTGATGTGACATTTTCGGTAAATTAATCGGATCGATTATTTTCTCATTTGTTGTTTTTAAAGTTGAACCTAATCGAATCGATTATTTCCTCATTTGTTAATTTTATAGTTGAACCTAATTTAAGCATTACTTGTCAAATGTACATACATTACATTAACTTCATGTTTTAATTAATGTATGGTTCCGAAAATTATTCAAAAAGTACCCAAAACCGAATCAGAGCACCCCACTATCCACGTGGTCTTGTCTGCCTTACCCCTAGAGTGTATATAAATAATCGGAGGCGCGGAGGAAGAGCAGCCCCCACCCGCTGTAACAAAGCACAGGCATTATGAAAGCTGTAGCGGCTGAGGCTTGAATAAAATGCCTGTGCTTTGGTACGCAAGGGTGGAGGGGCTGCATTTCCCGTAGCGCCGGAGCTGTCCAAAAAAACAAATATTATTTAGATGGGTTAGGTTAGGTTAGTATATGAATATTTGGTCGCCGAAGGCGACCAGGACGCCGAAGGCGACCAGGACGCCGAGTAGCCGAGGCTTGAATAAACAATTACTATTTAGATCGGAGCTGTCCACAAAAACAAATATTATTTAGATGGGTTAGGTTAGGTTAGTATATGAATATATGGTCGCCGAAGGCGACCAGGACGCCGAGAAGCCGAGGCTTGAATAAACAATTACTATTTAGATCGGAGCTGTCCACAAAAACAAATATTATTTAGATGGGTTAGGTTAGGTTAGTATATGAATATTTGGTCGCCGAAGGCGACCAGGACGCCGAGAAGCCGAGGCTTGAATAATGAATTCCTATTTAGATCGGAGCTGTCCACAAAAACAAATATTATTTAGATTGGTTAGGTTAGGTTAGTATATGAATATTTGGTCGCCGAAGGCGACCAGGACGCCGAGAAGCCGAGGCTTGAATAAACAATTACTATTTAGATCGGAGCTGTCCACAAAAACAAATATTATTTAGATGGGTTAGGTTAGGTTAGTATATGAATATTTGGTCGCCGAAGGCGACCAGGACGCCGAGAAGCCGAGGCTTGAATAATGAATTCCTATTTAGATCGGAGCTGTCCACAAAAACAAATATTATTTAGATTGGTTAGGTTAGGTTAGTATATGAATATTTGGTCGCCGAAGGCGACCAGGACGCCGAGAAGCCGAGGCTTGAATAATGAATTCCTATTTAGATCGGAGCTGTCCACAAAAACAAATATTATTTAGATTGGTTAGGTTAGGTTAGTATATGAATATTTGGTCGCCGAAGGCGACCAGGACGCCGAGAAGCCGAGGCTTGAATAAACAATTACTATTTAGATCGGAGCTGTCCAAAAAAACAAATATTATTTAGATCGGTTAAGTTATATAAATATAAGATTATATTAATATACTAACCGTATATTAATATTTTTTTTAAATAACTGTTTAACTGAAACTCGAAATCGAATACAAAATCGGATTCAAAATCGAATACTAAAATCGATTTTCACTTTCACAGAATAGATTATTTTTCACATCCCTATTCATTTTATAAAGTATAAACGCAATCGGCCATTTCGAATGTGGATTTTGCCAGAACAGTGTGTGTTCACAGTGATCAAGTGCAAATTATAAGTTAAAAAGCCGTTACTTTTTAGGTTTTTTTATTTTTGCGTGAATGTGCGTTATTTTATTACCATTTTTTAAAACTTGGCTTTACATACATACTAGACACTGATTTCTTGCGCTCATTTTCAGATTAAGTACTGTAAAAAAAAAAATTTTTTTTTGGTTTCCTAAACGCAAAATTTTTGGGGGGTGATTACTACACCCTTCCCCCCTCCTCACCCCCCGCAACCCTAAATTTGGGTACGTCTGTTTCGCATCTTTACCTTAGTTGTTTCAGTAAAAAAGCTTTACGGGCAGGTCCTTTGCTAGCGTAAATGTCTTGTAGTTTACTCCAAACGGCTTTTGCAGATAGGCATTTTTTTAATTTGGTTAAGCTCAGAGGGAGAAATCATAAGAATTAGTTCCGATCTGGCTTGTCTGTCACCTTCTGTTTCAGCTGCACTTGGATCCTTACTTAAAGGACTTTCAATGTATTTCCATAATTTGTTTCTTACTAGGACTGCTTCAGCCTGTATTACCCATGTATCATAGTTTTCTTTTGTTGGAGGATCTATTCTTGCGATCGACATTTTTTATTTCGCTTTTTCCTTTTTTTTTATTCCTTTTACTAAACCACGCTCTGCTACCATGTAAAGTTTTAATTAGTCGATATGAAAGATAGATCAGGATTTATGGTGTTTGTTAATATTAAAGAAATACAAAGCTTTATTTTTATAAGACATTTTTAATCAAACTATTTATTCTTAAAACGAGATTGTTGCTAAGGCAACTTCTTGTATGCCAGTAATAAGTATATACATACTTCACAATTATATTATTAATTCAATTTAATAACTAGGTATGTTTCATAACCTTTTAACTAAGTAACAATAGGTCTTTGTGAAAAAGCATTGCTAAATTTCTTTGAAAAAATAATTAAAACTCCTTTATTTGTTTAAAAGGTACTACAAATGTCATTATGGTCATTCAAAATTCTTGGCATAGCTGCTTACGTCACGCATATTCTATTTCTTTTTACTTGTAGATTAGCTATGATACTGCGCTGTATAACAAAAAGTAAATCTCGATGGACCAAAATTACTTTGACTTGTACAATACGTGTTAGAATTGATTTATTACATCTCGAGGTAAAAATTAAATGACTCGAAAATTGGTCTTAATTTCGAATGTAAATTATAAATGAAATTACTAACAAAAGACAATATGTTATCATAGCCGAAAAACGTCGAAGGCATAGTGCCAGCAATTCTATCAGTTACCAACAATACTAGCCTATATTCCATATATCCTTCCAATTTTTTTCTAGTCTGTACACTGTGGTGGCTTTATCCGTCAATAGAAATACCTGTGGGCTGTGGCAGTGTGGCTATATGTCATGTCAACGTGAGGGTGAAATGTATAATTGTTTAGTGAATACTTAATTGTAAATCAAGTTTACTGGAAGCCGACATTATCTTTAAGTTACAAATACACTGTGTATACATAAATGAACGTTTTGTAATATAATTGTTAATAATTATATGAAATGGCTCTTTATTGTGCAAGTATGTATTCTTTTAAAGCTGTACGCACCGGCATTAATGAAGCTTGGTTTCTTATATCAAGATAATTTCGCTACATATTAAGTGATTTGTATTTGAATGAAATCTTACACTTAGACACTAAGTTTCTCTGTCTAATACGTCACGTAATAAATTTTTTTTAACACAATAAAAATATAACCTATTTCTTGTAGTCTCAAATGAAGTACCCGAAGTCCCTGTTGTGTCTCCGTCATCCGGCGCGGTTTTTGAGAGGCGTATCATAGAAAAGTATATAATTGAAAATGGTGTAGACCCAATTAGTGGCAAAGAATTAAGTGTAGAAGACCTAATTGAAATCAAAAGTAAGTACTACCAAATCTGGTTTTCTATACAGCACAGATGTAGCAAGTGAAATAGAGTCAATTTTGTACCAAAAATTCTCAGGATATTCTGTCAGTCTCTTTCATGCAGTATCGGATTATAGAGTACTGACTAAGATCCTCTATAGTCCGGATTTTTTTGCAAATATCACTAACAAATTACAGATGCAATGATAAGATTCCTTACAGATGTCATACCCTGATCTTAAATATCTTATCTATACAAATGTCATAAATTGTAGATCAGCCTACGCCAAATTCACTTACTAAACTACTGATAGATTAATTACAATTTCAACAAACTAAATATCAAATCTTTCTTTAATTGTCATTTGCTTCTGGGCTTGTGACAACATTACTAGGTATTTATATGTAATAACAGTAAATAGTAATCTATAAATGCACACTAGGCCCCACCACCATTACAAGTAGACAAAACTCAAAGTCAGACTATGCAATCAACATCATAACAATGCTTAAGTGTTGAGCATAATAGTGATGGCGCATACATGTTGTGAGCAATCATTCATTATCTACACTAGCAAAGATTGTCAAAAAAATATAAAATCACTGTTTATGTGAAAAAAAGCTTACGTGAATCTGTATATGTGAAAATTAGAAGATCATATTAAAAAATCCTATATAAGATAAAAAAGCAAATCAACTTCCAATGTTCATACATTTAAATTTTTTTGTAGTGGTAGAAGGTATAAACGCATATATACTCCCAAAAACTGGGCCATGTGATAACTCTAATATTTACAAAATAGCAAACTAATAAATACACTAAAGCATTGTTTTTTGTACATTTGTGTGTCATAAAATTTTATATGTTAGTAAGTGAAGATCAATTAATAACTCAGGTTATCTACATTTGTCCAGGTTTATATATTTTACTTTTATATTTACTTTATTATTACAAAGTTTTTATGTCCTAATATATGTACTCTTGATCTTGATATCTCTTTTGCCCTGTTAGCTCCACCTATAGTGAAACCAAAACCTCCAAGTGCTACATCTATCCCTGCAACACTTAAAAGCATGCAGGATGAATGGGATGCCCTGATGCTACACACATTTACTCAGAGGCAGCAACTTCAGACAGCTAGACAGGTATTATTCTTGGCACAAAACTTATGCTAGATATTCTACGACAGGAATGAAATTTCCCTTTGTCTATGTACTATTAAGCAACTCTTGGTCAACCCATGAATCTAGCTAATTTATTATTTGGTTTATGTTTAACATAATTTTCACTTATAGTTCACTTGTTTTACAGTTAATATGTAAATAAAATTATTATATGGAGTAAATATAATCTTTAAATCAGTCCGGTAGTTTTTGATTTTATTTATACAGAAAGTTCATATGAAAACTAAATAATTAAACTTTCATAGGGTATTACTAGTTTATGATTTCAGCTGCATGTATAGTAGTTTTAAATCTTTCAATATCAGTAATTATTAAAACAAAATTTTATTAAGATTGACTTTCTTTATTGTTTAGGAACTTAGCCATGCCTTATATCAACATGATGCTGCTTGCCGGGTAATCGCTAGGTTGACTAAAGAAGTAACAGCTGCAAGGGAGGCTCTAGCTACACTCAAGCCCCAAGCTGGTATTGTTGCACCGCAGCCCACCCAAGCCGTAAGAAAGATTTATCTTACTTCGTACAATTTTCACGTATTAATATATACAGAAGTATTATTTAAAAATATATTTTTTCAGGCTGAAGCGGCGGCTGGCCCCGGGGGGGTAGTGGCCATCGGTATGTCTGCGGAAGTGGTTTCTCGGCTGCAGGAGCGAGCCACGGCCCTCACGCAGGAAAGGAAGAGACGTGGTCGGACCGTTCCAGAGGGACTCGTCACGCCCGAACAGATTCGATCATTCCTCACTCTTGCATCACATCCTGTAGGTTTATTGTATATGTTATTCATCTTACTTCCTTCATTAGGAGTTTAATAGGGAATAGTATTTCTATTTCAATTGCTATGGAAAAATAAAGAATGTTCGGAGCGGGATGTTTTAAAGCTTACATATTAAGTTCTCAGATATTAAGCAACATGTGAATTTGCAGGGTCTGCACTCCGCCAGTGTGCCTGGTATTTTGGCCTTGGACATCAACCCTTCAGACCACAGCCGCATATTGACTGGAGGAAATGACCGCAATGCTACAGTCTTTAATAAAGATACGGAGCAGGTATGGTCAAACTTTTATTACATGAATTATTTATTCATCAATTATAAACACCATTTTTTTTGGAGTTTATGGCCTGGTATCTAGACCTTTAGGCCAATTATAAACACCATTTTATAATAAATGTTACCAGCCGTATCACGCGTTCACACTTGCGTTAATTCGGTCGCAGCGTTATACATTTTAATTCGAACGAGTGGTTCCCAATTAGCGCATGAAGTAACCAGTGTCTTCCTGGTTGTGTTACAGGTCGTGGCTATACTGAAGGGTCACACGAAGAAGGTGACAAGGGTGATCTACCATCCGGATGAAGACACGGTCATCACCGCATCACCAGATCACACTATCCGCGTCTGGAATGTACCTACGTATGTATCGACTATTTAAATAATAAAAAAGTGCGTGCGTACACATGTCAGAAGTGAAACTTCTTTGGCAAACTTGTTTTTAAGTCTTGTTCATATTTTCAAATCCAAAACTTTAGATTTCCGAGACTTAGAGGGAGGGAAAAAGTAAGATATGTTAGGAATTTAACAAATTTAGTTGTCATTAAAATATTAAAAGTGTTGAAAATTAATACAAATAATAAAAATAAAAAATTTATTTCGTCATCAGATTAAGATTTCAATAAATTATTTTGCATAAAATATAAAATACTAATATTTCATAAATTCTCTATACGAAATTTTAAAAATAGAATTTCTATCAGGTAATTCGCCCTTTTCACTCTCTTTCAATCGTTCTCTCCCTTTTCTTCGACAAAAACGCTGCATATCTTCGTGACTCCATAAAAATTTTATCCTCAAAATTGTACAACATCGATGTATACTTTTATATTAAATAGATTTATTTGAATCTACTCCATGGGTATTAGATCGCAGACCACAGTACTCCTCCGGTCCCACGAGGGCCCAGTGACCGGGCTGTCGCTACATCCCACCGGAGACTACGTACTGTCCACGTCCACCGATCAGCACTGGGCTTTCTCGGACATCCGGACCGGTGCTCTGCTCACTAAGGTATCGTGCAATTTGCTATTTCATTCTTTATCAATCGACAGTTGCTTAATATATTACCTAAAGGTGCGCTTACACGGGCAACTAAAATTGCTCAATTCCAGTCAATACTCGTCAACTATGACGTCACGACTACATCAAGCAATTTACAGCAACGGCAACAAGCATCAATACTGCGCAATACAATATTGACCGATATGGCGCAACTTCATCAACTAGGCAATGCTGTACTACACGAGCAATTCAGTATTCGCTCGCTATGGACGACATTGTTCTTGCTGCGTCGGCTTGTAGCGCTTTTTTTATTATTAATCAAAAACAAAAAAGAAAGAAAAGGAATAGGCGTATCTGTGTGCGATCGTTTTTGGTCGCAATTTTCATTGTGTAAAGAATTAGATGATATATTATTCAAAAACTTTACTAGAATGTCACGAACAGACTGAATTACTTTTGAATAAAGTTATTAGAAATTATTATTATTTAGACCTCTCGCTCTCCCCGCGGAAACAAGACGGCAAGCCGCAAAACAAACAAGTGCGAATGAGACATATACAAAAATTGCAAGGAATTTCCAAGTCCATTGGATATTCGTCAATTCGTATCTGCGACATTGAGCGATATGAAATATCTGGAACAATTAGAAGCAATATCGCCGAAATAATTTATTGAAATTGCTCCAGATCGGTCCATTCGTGTCGCCGAGCAATTATTGCCCTCGTGTAAGCGCACCTTAACTAGCGACCCGCCCCGGCTTCGCACGGGAGCTAAATTCATTCAATTCCGGCCGGTACCGCCGCAAACGCTACATCCCGCAATTTTTGAATCTGTAATATCTTCGAAAATATTCAATTAAATCATATGCTGTAAAGGGCCATATAGATCTTTATTAAATCAACAATTAATTTAAGGTATTTAATTGGATAAGGATTACCGCTGTATTGGTTAAAATCGCTTCGAAAATTAGCCATTATTTGTCGTAAAAAGTATAAATGTAATTGTGGGATATCCATAAGAGATAGACATATTCCATCGCGGAGTTTTGTGTAGACCTTTACAATGTGTACAGTACTTAGTACATTATTTTGATAAATCTCGCCTGCGTTTGCAATGTAAGCGGAAAAAATGTATTTATTTACGACATCACATTAGAAACCTCAAAAATAACAGTATTTCTTCATCAATATTTGATGGATGTTATTATACATATAAACCTTCTTCAATCAATGTATTGAAAAAACCGCATGAAAATCAGGCAGGGATATAGGAACAGAGAAAGCGACTTTGTTTTATACTATGTAGTGATAAAAACCTGAATAACTTCAGGTGAGCGACTCGTCCGGCGTAAGCCTCACCACGGCTCAGTTCCATCCTGATGGGCTGATCTTCGGAACCGGGACGGAGAACTCCCAGGTAAAGATCTGGGACTTAAAAGAGCAGAGCAACGTAGCGAACTTCCCCGGTCACGTGGGTCCCGTCACATCGATATCGTTCTCGGAGAACGGGTACTACCTGGCCACGGCCGCCGAGGATTCCTGCGTCAAGCTCTGGGATTTGAGGAAACTTAAGAACTTCAAGACTATTCAGTTGGAAGAGGGATACGCCATTAAGGTACCATTTTGACCATATTGTTCCTAAACTTTGACACTGATAAACGACTATACACTGTTACTATTCTTGTAGGAGTTGTGCTTCGACGGCAGCGGCACGTATCTGGGCGTGGCCGGGACCGACGTACGCGTCTACTTGTGTCGTCAATGGCAGGAGCTCAAGGTATGTACTGATGTGTTACGAAAAGAGATCCGAACAATTAATATCACGTGTTCAGTTCACACACTCGTAAACGGGAGACGAGAGCGGTTTAGTTGAAATTGTCAATTGCCAATTAAAAACTGATACGACTTAGGGGCCTTCGAGAAAAGAGCGTTGCAAGTGTCCATGGGCGGTGGACATCACTCATCACGCCGGCTCGCTTGCCTCCTGTCCCATAAATAAATAAAATTGATAATAAATGAATGTAATTGTAGGTATTCAACGAGCACACTGCGTCGGCGACGGGTCTGCGGTTCGGTCACCACGCCCACTATCTCGCCTCCACTAGCATGGACCGCACCCTCAAGATTTACGGCATAGAGTGAGGGCATACGGAGTGAATGTATTCAGTCCAATATTATTTCACCGGTTCAGATGATTTTGTTTACGTCTTTAAAGTCACTTTCTCTATTCACATTTTAGTTCTAATATTGCCTTTTAACAAACCCAGTAATTTGGTTCATTTAGACTGTCTAATAAGAAACCTTGAAAAGATTGACGAATTTATGTTCTTCAATTAATATTTAGTAATGTAAGTAAGGTAGATATTAAAATAATTATATTGAAATAAAATTAGTGATTCCAGTTTTCCTTTTCTTTCTGAAAAATTAATATAATAAAATCACCAAACTCTCAATAAAACTTTATTACAATTCGCAAAGTGAACACTATATACAAGTACGTCATTAATTCTACGCGAAATGAATAACATTAAATGCAATAATGAAACGAGTAATAGTTTAAATGAGTTTTTATGCTGCAATTAACCTTAGACTTAAAATAATATTAGGCGTCAACTAACCCACCACAATACAATAAATAAAATTTTATTCAAGTGATAAAAATATGGCTTTTCTGAGCTTATTATTAAAATACATTGATTTGCAATGAAGTTTTAAAAGGCTAGTACTGACAATGTCAACGTCTTTTAGAATATGCCATTACCTTATTTTGTCCTAGTGCAATATTAAGCTCACAAATACATAAATTCATTGCATCCATCAACATTAGCGTCACCTTCACTACAATAACCGGTTACACTTAAAAACAATATTGAATATAACGTAATAAAAATGATCATCGACCTACCCTGAAAATTTACTATAGCCTTAATTTCTAAAGTATTGAAGAAAAAAATAAGATAATAAGTAGGATTTCCGTTTTTCACGGAAGCTAAGGTTTTTGTCGATAAGTTTCAAGGTAAATGACCAAAACGGTTAAGGCAAATCTAAAACAAGTTTTCCATTTGCTTCTATGAAATTTATTTATTTACAGAATAAAATTATGCCCAATTATGTACAAATGAAATATATCACCCGGATTGTGAACCTGGCCTACGCGCTAGTGAAGCTTCAGTTTCTAATCTAATAGTCTTACAGATTTCCAAAGAAATGCGTTTTTTACCTCATTCTGGCGAATTAAATTATCACTTGTCTTAATTACTTAAAAACTTTCATCATTTTTCGATGAGATTTGTTTCAACTGATCTATGAGAGGAAAAGGATAAAGATTTCTTACTAAATTTGTATGGAATACATTTTTGACGCATAGTGAAAGCAACAATATTACTTTTTACTTTTCATTTTTTAATATTGAACAAACTTATAATTTAGTTGAAGTAGATATGTTAAATTATGTGAACATGTTTAACGCAAACTAATTAAGGAAACTTATGATTTCACCCAAAAAACATTAAAAAGGCAATATTTCAATTTAAAAAAATAAATTTATTTATATTGAAATTTCTATTTTTATTCATAACAATATAGAATATTTTTAAATCAGCAAATAGTGCACCAATGTATGTTTTGGTGCCGCTTGCTTATCACTATATGTTTTTAAATGTTCATCAAATGCCTAAGGTCAAACGACAAGGCTTTAAACTCTTCAAAATATTAAATAAAACTAACTTAGGCAATGTCACTGTCAAACACGGCTAGTGGCTGTAGATTTTCATAATATTTTGAACTATATTACTTTATATATTCTAGAATTAATAAAAATATGGGTGATTAAAATAATCTGACAAATAAATACTTTAATGTCTCTACTTGTTTCTTGTAACTTTAAAAAAAATATAGAATTTTTTCCAATTGATGGAGAAGGGAATAAATGAAGTCTTAAATATTATGGTGAAACCAAATAGCTCCAAAAGTTGGTACAAAGAACTGTATTTCGAACAAACCTAGCCCAAAGGTAGATAGATGGCTTTCATTGATTTCTAGATGTTATATTTCTACCAGTAGGTAGAATAAATAAGCTTGCACCGTAATAATATACTTCCGGATGGTTTGTCGTAGATAAATTGAACTTTTCATGAATGAGTAAAGGAGTCAGTCGTGTAGCACCATGGGGAGGCTGACGTAGCCCCCGGCCTTCACTTCCCTGCACGCCCCCTCGGGTCATGCGAAAATCAGCCACAGAACAAAAAGGATCGCCACCCATAAGAATATCTTCGATAGAAACTGCTCCTCTTCATATTGCGCAGTGCCCCGAGGTGCTGTTAATAGAGTTACTTATAAAATAAACAGCCAAATGAAGGAACAGGCTAGATTCTAGGCAATAATGTATGTAGAGATAATAAGACTGCATGTATTGAGTTTAATCTTAAAATATTTTGAGTTACCACAACAATGATTAAATTATTCTGAGCTCAGGTTTATAAGCAAAACAGCTTTGTTATTCATTAACTATGATAATGAATAGTAATTAAAACACATCATGCTCCTGATCTCCAGCAGTCAGAGGAAACTTAGTTGAGAATTGACTGTTTCAACTTAAAAAATTTTGTTTCCTATAAAATTAACAAGTAAATATATCTTGTAAACATAATTAAAATTTTACTTTAGTATCACACAGGGGCATTGGCCCTGCTATAAATTAAACACTAGTTACAGTTGAGTGAACTCAATATTGTTTATTTTTCAGTAAGGCTTCTGACGTTTTTCAAGGGCATATGTTCAGCTGCAAATATTAATAAGCAACATCTATAAAAATAATAATAATATAGCCTTTATATTCCGAAAGTCTGATCTGTGATCTTTAATATATTTTCACTACAATATATCTTGGAGTTTGGTGTGCCTCTTGGCAAAAGCCTCCTCTAACACTTTCCACTGTTCTCTATCTTTTGCGACTCTTCTCCAGTTCATCCTCCCATCTTTTGTGTTGTCGGCTTCTTCTTTATTTACTGTCTCTATATTCAGTCAATATTTTGCTCCATATTTCATTGGGGCTCCGTAGCATATGACCCGTCCATCTCCATTTCATTTGGTTGGTCTACCTTAGTGAGAATGTCTGTCACACCTATTCTAGCTCTTATGTCTGTCTATTCTTCTTAAATCTCTTAGGTGGATCTTTAATGTCAGTTGGAGAGATAATTTGCCCCAGATAAATGTACTATTCAACATATTCGAGAGGTTGGTTTAATAAACACTTTTTTTCATATGGGATTGAATTTGATAGTAGCTTTGTTTTGCTTGTGCTCATTTGCATGCTGACATTCTCACTTTCTTTATTTAAGTCTTGTATAATTTCTTCAAGTTTGTGAGGGTTCTCTTCGAACAATACAAAGTCGCCTTCAAATTGGAGATGATGTAATTTTCTCCTGTCTATATTTAGCCCATTCCATTCTAGTTTTTGGTACAAGTACAGCAGAAAATAGCTTGGGAGACAGTGGGCCCCTTGTCTGAAACCTTTTTTGATTTTCAATGTCTTTCCGAGTGTATACATTTGTATTCTTGCATTGCAGTAAGCATATATTTTTTTTAATGATGTTTATATAATTAAATTAACTCCTTGGTTTTCTAAGCTTTCGTAAGCTTCGGTGCAATCTATGAAAGCCATATACACTGTTTTGTTATATTCACTATACTTTTCTAAAAATTGTTTGACTGTGTGTATATGATCAATTGTTGCGATGTTTTTCCTAAATCTAGCCTGCACAAATTTCTTTCAACAGAAAAGGCAACATCTATAGCAAAATGTTATAAATAAGCTGAACTAACAAGAAAAGAGTTTTGTGAATAGTCTTAACTCACCAGGACTAGGCCTTGGGTCTCCAAAATTGAATGTTGACGTAAATACCCCAAACGGGAAGGCTCCAATTCCAAAGGACATGTGAAATCCTTCCCCAAAGCTAAAGCCTGGAAATCCACTATTATTCTCAGGTTCTGTCCTTTGCCCTGCTGGACGGGGAGGGACCTAAATAAATACAAGTCCTTTAATATGGAATGTAGTTTTTATAACTTGAACTTGAAAAGGAATGCAAGCACAGAGTAGTAATAATATTAACTAGAATAGGTGTTGATGATTCAACATCAACTTTTTCTGATATTTCAAGTAATGATTATTAACACTATGCTAAAATTTACTTGAGGCCATATTTACTTACGAAATACACTCATTACCATCCAAAAGGTAAACAAACTCAGAACCTGCTTAGAAGAGATTATATTGGTTCAAAGACAAACCTTATTTCTTGGATCCTCTTGCTTGGTATTACCTCGTCCATACAGAGGTATGACTTTATCTCGGCTGATAGCTGCTTTGCAGACGGGACATACTTGTCGGCTTGGTCTAGTTTCTAGCCACTGATGCAGACATGGCCAACTGATAAAATGATGATGTAAATTACCACAAAGATTTGGTTTTCTAGGACCATGACTTGCAAATATGCTTGCTATTAAGCTATGAAAAATGATGGAAGCTTTGAAAGTCTTTATAAAAAAACTTTTAATTATCTTTTGATAAAAATAAAGAAAAATTATTAAAGTTAAATGATTTTGCTACTAAGACTTTTTAATAATCTCCAATAATTTTATAGTTTAAGTAAAATTTCAAGAATTTTAAACAATACATCTGTGATGGTTAATTTTTATTATTACTTTGATAAAAATGAAATTAAATGGATCAAGAACATACCAGAAGAGATGTCCGCACATACTAACTACAGCATCTCTAGCCGTGTCAAGACAGATGTTACATTCTAACATTCGTTCATCGCGTTTCTCTTCCTCTCCGCCAGCATCACCTCCCGGAGCCGAAGGACTGGGTTTTGCTTCACTTGTTTCTGCCATTGTAGACCAACAGAGCGCACCTTTTTAATATTATTACGTCACAAATACATCGATTCCACAAGTTCCCAACTTATCGCAATCACAACACAGTAAGTGACCTCTAAATATGTCGCAGTCTGTTCTACGTTGATATTTTTATACACGATTGATTGAAAAATAAAAAGGCCTTAAATTTACGCACTTAAACACATATGTTTGATTTTTTGTTATTATATTTGAAAAACCTAATTTTAAACTTGATAAATTTCCCTTATCATTCACACAACGAGTCAATTCGTGACTGATCCATGATTCTAATTTACATAAAAATCTATGGTGAGGTGAGAATCGAAATCTGTCAGCTGTCATAACTTGGCATCTCACTCACTCATTTTGTTTTTCTTTTCGTATAGAATCTCGCTGTTGGCCTTAAGGGTCTTTTCAGCTCAGTTCGGCCTGTTTTAGCGGAGCTTAGCTCGGCCGGAATGGGCGTTTTCCCGCGACTAGTGTAAACTGTAAGGGCGTGTCCTCACTCCTGCGAGGCTCGAACTTCGGCTTGGGCCGTCACCGGGTGGTCAATCGCCTGGAGGGCAGGACGGAAGCTCACTGGAGTGAGCGAACGAAGTAAAAGTCCACGCCTTACCCGGTGAAGGCAGTTTTTTACACTAATCTGAATCTGATTTTGAATTTGCTTTGCTGTGCGGCGGCTTTTAATTTGTTGTTAGCTATCGTAACTGGATCATCCAGTACAATGCCAGGTTTGCTTGGGACACTTACGCTTTCCTTGCGGGTTCTAATCAAGCGCCTGCTTAGGGATATGATTGGACTCTTCCAAGTGTATGGCCTATCCATTTTCACTTGCGTCGCTTGATCTGCTGGCTAATTTTCTCGGCAGCGCTCCCAAAGTTGGTCGTTAGAGATCTTCTCGGGCCAGTTGATACCCAGAATACGGTGAAAACAACGGTTGACGAAGACTTGAAGTTGGTTCGAGATGTCTTTAGTGACCTTCCACGTTTCACACCCATAGAGCATCGGCATATAAATCCAAATCTTCTATAATAATTTCTGGATCCGGCAGTTTAGTGACGTCAAACTTTCTTCCAGCCCTACCAGAAGCACCGGCTGGTCGCGCAACCGCAATCTTGAGGCGTATTGGTTGCTTCGGATTCGGACATCGAGCAGCGACGAGCGTCAGATCGAACTGATAGCAAGGTGGTCAAATTGGTTTTTCGTAAAGCTATCAGGTGAGTTCCATGTGTAATTATGTATATCTTTATGGATGAATAGTGTCCCACCGATGGTCAGGCAAAACTCTATATAACGTTTACTATTTTAGTTTCGTGCTCCAAGTTTCGTGTTTGCCCTTGTTACGCTCACAGTTGGTGTTTTTGCTTCCAACCTTTGCGTTAAAGCTCCCCATGATGATCACAATATCTTGTTTCTTAATACCTTTAAGTGTGGCATTTAGTGCGTTGTAAAAGTCATCCTTGGGGTCCTCCACAGACGTGTTGGTGAGACAGTAACACTGCACAATGGAGATCTTCCGGGCTCTTGAGTTGTAACGGGCCCAAATGTTTCGGACTGAGATCGGTTTCCAGTCCAAAAGACTTCTCTTTGCGGATTCTGAAGCGACGCCGTATTAAATCGGTCGTCATCCTTATTTTCCTTCCCGGAATATAGAAGAGTTCAGCCTTTGGACGTTCGCAGTACACCAACCACTTCGTTTAAACCAAGTATTTGCAGATTGTATCTAAGCATTTCTGCTTCTTACATTCCAAAAAGCAATTCGTGTCCGTGATTGAATGCCAAAGATCGTCGGTAAATGATAGGTCCGGTTTCACACTATTTCGGTTTTTTGAATCGTTGATTTTGCAGGGAAGCAGGCCATCAGCGATTCCCACCAAAACCATCTCCAACTTCCCACCCCAATAGGCGTAGTGCAATGTCACCTTATGTTTAAGGGACATGTGATTTCTATTATTCCGGAGGAAATAGAGGCGAGAGAGGACCAAAGAGGCCTCCTTGTGAACGGCGGCTATGTGCTTACGGAAGTTCATCCGCTATCGAGCAAGACTTCTAGATATGTCATTAAAGTTTCACATTGTGGGTATATATACTGTATTTTTTGTAGCTGTGCCATACAGTTTTACCGGCGTAATTCGTAAACTCAGTCGTAGAGTAAGACACGTACGCAGTCTATCGCCTATATTTTTTCTTTTTATTGAAGATCTCTTTCAGTGTATTGCCTTGTATTAGTTTTTTAATATTCTTAGAAAAATTGTCCTAATATTAACGAACACTCCAAAAAAAAGAAATGTGTGCAGTGGTTCAGAAGTCATACGGACTCAATATTTTGGCAACTCATTTATTTATATAGATTTTATTTCAGTTTTAAATTCTGTCACATTTGACATTCTGTTGCATTCATTGTAAATTGTAATGTAATGTAAAAAAATTGTCGTAATGTACACTATTTACTACTAATAAGTAATCTGTGAATTATACTAAGAAATAAGAATAACATGATTGGCAGCGATAGGTCTTACAAGTTACAAGTCTTATTTCGAAAAATATTTGAAAACAACTGTGACGTCATTGAATTTTGTAATATCGCTGAGGAAAGGAGTTAATAGAAAATTTCTTACAAAGTTTTAAAATGGGTGGATCAGTAAGTGCTGGTCGAGATAACAATGAGTTGATAGACAATTTAGTGAGTGGAAATTACATACGTTCTCGGGGGGTAGAAAAAGTGTTTCGAGCTTTGGATCGAGGTGATTACATGACACCAGAGGCCAAACGGCAAGCTTACAAGGATTTAGCTTGGCGCGATGGCCTACTTCATATGTCATCTCCATGTATCTACAGGTAATTTTTAAATAGATTTCTGTAATTAAAATGTTTATAAAATTTTTATTTTAAAAGTTCTATTTGATGTCTTTAATTGTCTAATTCACCATTACTATAATAATTCTCTTAACTAATATTATATCCCTAGTGAGGTGATGGAGGGATTGGAGTTGAGACCTGGCCTCTCTTTCCTAAACATTGGATCAGGGACAGGATACCTAAGCACCTTAGCTGGGCTTATCTTAGGAACTTCTGGCATCAGTCATGGAGTAGAAATTCATCCCTCAACTGTGGATTATGCTACCATTAAGCTACAACAATTTATAAAAAAATCACCAAGTCTAGATTACTTTGACTTTTGCGAACCTAAGTTCTTCATTGGTAAGTCTTAAAAAGATTATCTTCTTAGTTAAAAGTTCTTAACTTTCAAATACAATAAAAACCCTTTCTACATTATTGATACATTTTAAAAGACTGCATTTTCTCTACTGATAAATTTACAAAGATTATTAGTTGTTTAGTCTTCTATATTACTAATAAATAATAACCACTATTCTCCTGGTAATTGAATGTAGGACTTTAGGTTTATAGGCTATGTGCCACCACTAATAAATGGAATAATAATTACCTGCCGTATTGTTTACATTATGTAAACATTATTGGACTACATTTATTTTACAAGTATAAAAAATTTATATATATATTCTTAACCGCTGACAATTTATGTAGTCTGCTGTTTGCTGATTTTAAGAATTTGTTATGATTTATTTAAATGGTACAGCTACATATTATAAAAAATAAAGTTTATATTTTATTGCTTAAACTGCTAATAGTAATTCTAATAATTGCATTGTATTAAGGATAAAAATTTTGATAAAAATAATTTTCATAGACACACTGTTGTTAATTTGATATTTGTTGCGTGTATTTTTACATCATTTATTGCATCAGTACATGTGTGTGTTAAAAACAATAAACAACTATGACTATTATCAATGTTATCTTGGTGTGATAATATAATTACAGTTATTGTAAAAGTTCCAGTTCAAAAACAAGATATATAAACTTTTGCTTTGTGTTAATCATGTAAATAAAATTAACTAAGAAACTAACATCACAAAGAGAGGTATTTTAAGATTATTTTAATTATTAGTCTAGAGTCATTTAGAATAAGTCAGAACTGGTTTTTAATTCTGGAGAAATAAATTAGATTAAGTGCATGGTTGAGTATATTGTGTTGCAAATGAAATGTTATGATAATTACTGTTTTGCACTTACACAGGTAATGGGCTTAATTTAGCACCCTTGCAGAGTGGATATGATCGTGTTTACTGTGGTGCTGGGTGCCCAGAGAAATATGTGAATTATATCAGATACTTGCTGAAGGTAATTTTAAACATATTTTTACTTTTAGACTGTTGAGATAATAATTTATAAAAAATATATGTAATCTATTTTTATTCATAAAAGTCATCCTGTTTTGTTAGGTAGGTGGAATACTTGTCGTTCCCATTAATGACACACTACAGCAAGTGAAGAGAGTCTCGGAAACAAAGTTTGTCAGTTACAGCTTAATGAGTGTTTCCTTTGCAACGCTAAGAGCACCCACCGATGAGGATACAAAAGAACATTTTAAATTGGGTAAGAATTAATTTATATTATTTTACGATACGATTTGTTTGCTGAATCATCGTAACATTTGGTTATTAATAAAAGTTACCATAGTTAAAGAACCATATTAAAGTCGATATAGAGCCTCCTCGGCTGGTGATGTTGGCCCGGGCGCGTATCCGTGAAGCTCTACGAGACAGCTTGCTGGAGCGGAGACCCGAGCTGCGGGAGAAGGCGTGGCGCCGCCCCCCCAGACGCAACCAGGAACCGAGAAGAGTCATAATACCCATCGAGTCCACGCCCGAAAATGGTACGTTCCACATCGCTCTTTTGCTTCAGCCGATTGTGTATTGTTTCAGTAATATTTGTTGTCGTATATTTATTTCAGAGAACTTAAACGTCCTTCACGACTTGGACGCCGAGAGTGGAGCGAATGAAATGAATGCTCTCCTCAGTCTCGTGATTAGTATGGGAGAGGACAGATTGGCCGGAGCCCTGCGTTTCGGCAGCGACAGAGGAACCGGGTACGTATATCGCCACGATCGAGACTCACATTCCTCGGACGACGACGACGACACGGACGGCTCCACCGAAACTGTCGAACCCACCACGGAGACTTACGATCAGAGTATAGGAAACGAAGACGACACCAGCTCACGCTCGAATCAAGAGTTAAAAGAAGATTCCGAAGAGACTACTCATAAGACTGACGCAAAAGACGAGGCCGATAATAAAGAAAGTGAAGTTGAAAATGTCGTAGACAGCAATGATGAAATCGAAACCGATCCTCAAAGCGATAGTTCCTCCGTGGACGATTCCAAAGCTAAGAATAAGCGGCTTAGGGCTAGGCTGTCGAGGACGGTGGCCAAGCTGAAGAGGCTCGGCAAGAAACCATTCAGGAACACGGGAATAGCGAAAGCTTCAACGTCGAAAGTTGAAGATGAGCATAGAAATGACTGCGAGGTCAGCAGCAGCGAGTCTGACGATGTAAGTTCTCCGCCTTCTCTAGTTTTTTGCTTTGAACTGTGAAACTACTTGTTTCTATTGTTTCTTCAGGATGAGAAGCCTGCCGGGACCGACGACACTTGCACTGAAGACACTTCCCAGGAGGCCGGGCCCTCGACTGACATGGAGTGGCAGGAGCTTAAGCACCCTGTGGTGAGGATCTTAATTCTATCTTGTAGTTGTTTTATCCTTATTGACGGCTCATTGGTCTAGTGGTTAGTACCCCGACTGCGAATCCATGAGTCCCGGGTTCGATCCCCGGCTGAGACAAACATCGATGTGATGAGCATTTGGTGTTGTGTTTAGGTCTTGGGTGTTTAAATATGTATTTATATGTCTATCTATCTATAATATGTATGTATATCCGTTGCCTAGTACCCATAACACAAGCTTCACCAGCTTAGCATGGGACTAGGTCAATTGGTGTGAACTGTCCAATAAAAATTAAAATAAATAAAATAAGATTTAAAGATTTTAAATATATGTCGTCCTACGTTTGGTTAGGTTAGTTTCTAGTCCTTAGCCTATCATTAGAGTGTATTTCAATCTTAGGAGGATAATAATGGAGTGCACAAAAGCAAGGCTAAAAGGCAGAAGCTGGACAGCGGCATCGGGGAGAACTCCGGCAGCGCCGAAGAGACCACACAGAGCGACAGCGGCTCGGACTCCGACAGCTGGACCAGGCTGAACATCTCTTGCTCCGGTCTCGCAGGTACATTTCGGTTCACTTTGTAAAAGTCGGCCTAAGTATATAAGAGAAGTGTCGGTGAGCTTCAACGTGCGACTCTCGAGCCTGACGTCGTGGGTTCGAACTCCGGTTGTGCACCAATGGATTTTCTGTGTATGACATGCGCACCTCAGGCGATGGAGATCATCGAGAGGAAACAGGCATACCTTGGATCAAAAAAGTCGATGGTGTCTGTCGGGCACGGCAGGGTGACTGTTTACAGATTAAATGATCTCGAAACAGATAAGGAAATCTGAGGCTCGGACATCGATCGTCGATGTGGCGGCGTCCATGCGTCGGGTTGTCTCTCTCCCTAAAATATAGCGAGGGGGCCGATGGTTGGCCATGCGTCATACTCGTGAACGGGTGCTACTTGTGGTGACTGGTCGTACTTGAATTCGTGTATGCGGTGATGTTAATTATTTTGACTATGTGTTTGCGTGTTGTTCCCACGAGAACGTAAGTGCGTGCTCCTATTTCATATGCCTTCTGCTGATAGAGGACAAATCTTGTTGTTAATTTATTTTATTATTATTTATTACTTAATATGTCATGTAGAACATGGTGTAATGGTTACAGCTCCTTACCAACATTGTGTTAAACAAAACATTTAATATTAGAAGCATCATTAGCATTAATATATATATATATATATGTATATTTATTTTTGACGTTAATAAGTGTACATTGTGTTACCTAAATGAATAAATGATTTTGACTTGACTCGGTCTTAAACTCACAAACGTATACGTTTCTCATCTCTTTCCACAGGAAATATTTAGTTACATAGCTCTGAATAACGGTTCCCGATTGTTCCTTTTAATATCAGATCGCGACGACGATTCGTCCGTGGAGGAAGACGAGGCGTCGGAGGAGAGGCGCGCTCGACGCAAGTCCTCGGAGGCTCGGCACCGGGAGATGGGGCTCACCGTGAAGCAGGCCGTGGCCGCTCTGCCCCTGCCCCATCCGCTCAAGATGTAACTCGCCTCAATTATTACTATTCATCGCCATCCCTTATCGAATGCCATTTTGCCATTAACCTCTTCTCGACGGTCTTTTCTTTCAGGTTCGTGAACTGGGGTCGCTCCTACCAATTCTAGCGGCGGACCGACGTCTCATTCGTTACGATTTCATACAGTGTCTTAAAACGATGGCTCGAAAGCCGTTTCGAAGTTGTGTTAACTTTTGGATTAGAAGTTATGAAAAAATTGTTGAACGATGATTAGCGATAGCGAATATAAATTTAATCAAATGATAATAAGCCTTAGCCGTTTTATACATCACATCTCGTAATAGATTCGCGTTTCGTGTAGTTGTTAAGTGAAGAAAATTCTGTCGATCGTTAGATATGCGTGCGTAGGATCGGAGGTCGATCTTCGATTGGCCCGGGCGTACGCACGTGTAAATATATCTCCGAATAACAAAAACACTGCGCTATTTGAAAAATAGGCAAATATGTTAAAAGGCAAGAGATATTGAGACTTTATATTTTAATTAATACAGTGTTTTATATGCGTTTATGATAATATATTGATTAAAGACTGCGAGTGTAGGGGAAGCAACATTTGAGTGCGATTACAATGTACGATAAATGTTCGAATTCTAGTCGCTTTTACTTCTCGGTACACGCGTTACAAATATTTATGATGTATGAATTAACCTAACCTATTTCAAATATTCCTTTAATTATGAAAAAAATAAATAATAAATAGGTTGTTTTAAGTCGATGTTGCTCATTTATGATGTACTATTGTAATGTTTGATAGAATTATGTTTTGCTTTTATGCGCCGCGTATATTTCGTCGAAGCAAAACAAATGTTGTTCCTTAAACAAAATGGAAGTTGGGCAAAAGTCATTTGTTTTATTCGCACTTTAAATATGTATAACTTTGTTAATGGTATCTTTGTTTCATCTCTTACTAATATTAATTCTATGTAATCAGCGTTCTAATAAATAATTATTCTTAACAGTATTTTTATTAATAAATACGAGTTTATTAGGTAAGTGAGTATTTGCGGTGGGTGCCAAGTTAAACTAGATATGTACAAACACTAGTGGGAGCCTCGTAGCCGAAGACGCGACGCTGGTGCGTAGCGGCTAGCACCACCTGTCGGAGCGTGCTTGTCCGTTGAGCCGTCGCGGCGCGTGATTGTCGGGATAAAAGTCGTCCGCCGCGGGCGCGTCGCACGCGCTCAGGCCGTTGAGCACCTTCCTCGAAGGCCGAGGAGTGGCTCTCCCGCCGTCTCGGACCCTGTCCCTGCTCTTGTCCGCTCCGTGACTTCTCTTCACCGGTCTCTTGGTGATCTCCTGGGCCTCTACGACCGACGGCGGTCTACTCCGCTCCGTTTCGCTTCCGTTCATCAAGGAATGTGCACTTTTGGCTTTATGCAGCGACAGCCTCAGAGGTTTGCGCGGCGGGGTCGGCCGCTTGGTGTCGTCCCTTCTATCGTCGTTTTTCTTGTAGTGGCTTAACCTCGAACAACTCTCCGACCCGTAATCTAATCGCGGTGAGCTGCTATAGATGTCGTTGGGGAAATCCGATTCCGATTCAAATTCTGAAGACTTTGCACTTCTAGAGTAAGCTTTGGACGTCCTCCGACTCGATTTATGAGCATTTTCGATAACCTTTCCGTCTATTCTGTTATACGAGTAATGCGATTCTATCTGGATGTCTTCGGAGCTTTCGTTCTTTTTCAATTTCCGTAATCGTTGCGAGCGTTTGAGTTGCTCGATTATTGATAAAGTTTTTCTTTCGGCCCAGTTGGTCTTTTTTATGCTCTCTTCTATCCTTTCTGCCGCCTTTTTAATGTCTCGCCGGGTGTCCGAATCGGATCTGTCGATGTCGCCGTCGGACCTAAAGTGTTGTTCGGTTTTGGAACGACTCAGTTTGTCGGTTTGGAGGCGTTGCTTCTCCATGTGTCTCTGATTGCGCTCGATCATGCGGATGGCGGCATCGGTCTCGGTGCCGTAGTCTTCTGCGTGTATGCAGTGGTGGGAGAGCGAGTGTCTCATTCGACCGGCGCGATGCTCGAGACTGTGCGAGCTGTGGGAGCGAGGATGAGGCGCGGGGGAGGTCCGCGGGGAGGGCGCCAGTCGAGAAGAGGCTCCGGAGGCGTTGGACCGCGGCCGCATCACGGGCAGGTTCGCCTCGGAGCTATCCAGGCCTGGCAACTTGGCCACGATTGCCGTGATGTCGGGACCCTTCTGAAACACTTGCACTTCTGATTTCATACTTTGTCTTGCCGTTTGCGGCTCAGATGTGATATTGATGTTGGTGACGTTCTTCTTTGTTTTATTGACCGTGATGCAGTTGTCGTTGCTACTGCCAGGGCGTAACTAAAAATAAACAACGTAGTGTTTACTTTCACATTGTTAAGTAAATCGTAAATAAAAACATAATATAATACTTATGTCCGTATATATAATAATATTTTAATAAACCTGTGTATGTCTCGCCAGCAACTCGGCGACCTGCTCTTCGAGGTAGGATATCCGGTGCGTGAGTCGCGTGTTGTCACTCCGAAGCCCATCCTTAGCTTTCTCCGCTTCTTCTGCAGAATTCTTTAAAGATTCTAGTTCTAATCGCAATGATGCCGCCTCGTTCTGTAAACCCATTAAGTCGAGTCGAGTAAAATACAAAACCCAAACACAAAATTCTTTAGTTTCTTCGAGTTATAAAAATTTAAGTTACCTACATATTTTCTTTAACGGATATGAGAATTGCATTATTTATTACATAAGTCAACATTGACCGTGACGCTGTAAAGCTCTCGAACACCTTAATCATACTATTCTTGAATGAAAATGATCAATAGAAATAATCAAGGTACCTGTGTAAAGGCAGGTGAGGCGTGCGTTGGTCCGCGCAGTGCTACTAACCGCGCTGGGTCTCCGGACGTGCTCACTCGGCGAAGCTCCTCCAGGCTGCACTGTAGGACACTACTGCCATTTACTTCTAGCAGCCTGCAAGAAGAAAATTGTTTTTGTTAATTCACTATCAAATATCTGTAGGGGTTTATGTATACCACACATTTTGTATTGCGACGGTGTGTAGCGTAAATTCGTAATATTAGCGCGTTTAACCAATTCAAAAGTATAGTAAATTAGTAGACTAAAATTAGGACGGATGATGGCGACGTGTGTTTCGTTCGTATATATTAAGTTTCTCATGTAAATAAAAATACATTTTTGTACTGAGAAACAGTACGTTTGTTCTTTAAACAATTTGTACCGCCGGTCGTTCTTCCCGCGCGCAATAAATATTAGCTACTGATTATGTTTAATTTCCTACACACTCCTTAACTAGGAGACTAACTAACATATTATGCGCTCATCTAAATATCTCTATAAACAATAGGACTGCCTTGGGAATGTCCATTACAAACAAAGGCTTCGATGTAATTTTTTTTTAGTAATAAATCGTTTATTACAAAATATCTATTATTTTTAGATAAAACATCTTAATAAATTTGATTTTGAGCGTGGAATGCGTAATGAGGCGTTAATTAACCGCGCTTGACGGGAATTTCTTCGATTTGCATTTCTCATTGTTTATGTCTCATACTCGAGGTTTTAAGCTATATAATAAACTAATCCATTTATTAAAAGCAAATGATAAAAACATATAAAAGAACCTGTCACCCGCTTTGAGCGCGGGATGATTTGCCCATTCAAGGACTACTCCAGTCCCTCGAGAGGAGGCGCCCCACGAGCCTTCGCGAGCTTCAGCCGCCAACAGAGTCGCGTTGCCTCCTAACTCTCGTACAGTACTGAAAATCACATTTGAGATAACTTTTACCATTTTCACATTTAAACACATGACTGATCGTTTAATACAAACGCAATATTCCTACATTTATTTTATCCTTTTGAGAATAGAAATCGACATGCATCATAAGATATCATGTGTCGATTAAGATTATATTAGACATGATATCCCGCCTCTTCATGTAGGGTTGTCACGTCAAAACACCTTAGTATGTTTAGTTTTATTTAATATCAGCTAAAATCATATAGATTTTATTGCTCAGTTTTAATCCAGACAATAGTAGGAGTCCAACATGGTAAAAATTTACTCGACCGTCAGAGTGAAGGTTAGTTGCTCAAAAGAAAGAAAGTTTAAACCCTTTCACTGGAGGAACGGGTACAGGTTTTCGAAAATGATTCGAGCTCGTCAGACATTGGTAAGGGATGTTTAGAGGTACTCTTAGTACCTACCCCAGTAGTTCTTCAAAAGTTATGGGCAAGTTTTGAAAATGCAAAAAAGACCTAACCTGCAAAAAGAATGCTCGAGCGCGTCAGATAAATGTGGAGGAATTTACTTTAATCTGACGATTTGAATAAAGTTTCGAATCATCTGCTGTGGAATCATCTTTACATTTGAAGTTCGATTTGAGAGAGTTAGATTGAAAGGGCATTGGCGCAAGAACGAAATACATAGTTCTCAGCGTCTGCATGCACTTTGACTTGTGCAAATCGGCACTACTTTCTTTCAAAATAAAAATAAATTGACTGCGCTTGAAAATTTTCAGATGACACTTATTTTGCAACTTTCTTAATCTGACGCGCTCGAGTTATATATAGGAAAAATCTAACGACCGATATTTTACTAATCTGATCCGATGGCCCTAGACGTTTGACCTTGATTGACTGGGCTCAGGTAAAGTGGGAGTACCACAACGTGCAAGATTGCCCCTCTTATTTGATTACATACATAATCGATACGGATTATCATTTTCACTACAGTGTATCATACACAAAATCCCGTAATCCCCGCATGGCTCCCATACTATTAGAAAACGTGATGACAACAAGTCAACGAACTAAAATAATGGAATATGCTATAAGCTACTTATTGGAGGAGTGAAAACTGTCAAATTTAACAGTTGTATAGATTAAAATGTAACTAATTCAAATTGTTTTGTAGGAGTTCTATTATGTAAAGCCCTATAAGCTAGATGCGCTTGCACCGATAGGGCACGGTGTCGTGTCGGGCGGGCGTATTTTATTGCCGCGAGTCACGGCCGCGCCGCCCGGCCTGCTTCAAGGGCCACTGACCGGCACGGCAATAGATAATCACAAAAATTTATTTCTATTTTAGAAATAAATTTTTGTATGAATGTATGAATTAATTTAAAACTTATATAAGTCACCATCCGACATCTGTACAATTAAACCTCCTAAATTACATTTAGAAATATACATCTATTCCTACTTTAAATGTTAGATCTGAGAAGCTATTGCTATTTCTCAGTGCGCCATGATTGCGCGATTAAAGACGCAGCTTTTTTTTTATTTAGAGACTTGATAATAATCGATCGAAGTTTGTTTTAAACCCTACACAAACATACTTATTAAAGCTAAGCCAATAACATTTCTTTTCGTGTTTATTTTGGATTTCGCTGTGATTTTTATATAACGTTAGTTTAGATGCATTTGAAATTGTTTTCATCTGTGCCAATTTTACTTATTTAATTAATACGCCCTCAATCATTCATGTTTACTATTTTTGTTAAATAACTATGTATCAACGGCCACCAAATCGTTCTTTCTCTGACATAACTGAATAATAAACATAAAAAGATTGTGAATTTTCCTTTGACAAAGAAGGTAAAAAATTTTAAGTTTTAAATTATTTTGGAAATATATTGTTAATTTTCTTTATTATCTTATTATCTAATAACATACATGATATGACATACAATAAACATATATGCTACTTATGTGTTGTATAACACATGCTTCTGGATCCATCTCTCGTGGTTTAAGCGTCGTTTGAGAGTAATTAGTGTTAATGATGCGTCATTTTTTATTATGGGAAGAGCGTGGGAGCCCTCAACGACATTGCCAACTGCATTTGCTTTGTATTTCAGTAATCCATCAGGATTCAGACCTTTATTTAAAATCATCTACACTCTAAACTGCGTACTGACTTCTTCTCGTTTTCTTTTTATTAATTAAACTCTGGTTTAGTTTGTAGTCTGGAATACCCAGTATGGAGCAAGAAGCTGCCAGAGTGTCAGCAATATTGATCGCAATGCCTTTGGTTGCATGCACTGCTTTTTTGTTTATTGTCAAAAGTCAAAATCATTTATTCATATAGGTAACACAATGTACACTTATAAACCTCAAAAAACATTTACTGCCAGTTCTCAAATGACGGGCGTAGAACGGAAGAGAAGAACTGGCAATAAACTCTCCGCCACTCTTTTTAATCGCCAAGTTTTTTGTTTTACACAACGTTTGCTGCTGCCATTACACCATGTTCCACATGACATCTTAAGTAATAAATAATAATAAAATAAATTAAAAACAAAGATTTGTCTCTATCAGCAGGAGGCATGGTTAAATAGGAGCACGCACTTACATTCTCGTGGGAACAACACGCAAATACATAGTCGAAATAAATAACATCATCGCATACACGAATTCAAGTACGACCAGTCACCACAAGTAGCACCCGTTCACGAGTATGACGCATGGCCAGCCATCGGCCCCCTCGCCATATTTTAGGGAGAGAGACAACCCGACGCATGGACGCCGCCACAAGCAATGACATTTAAGCGAGCTTGATGATCCTTGACAAGTGAACTTGGCTACATAAGAAAATAAGAATAAAACTGTCTTTAATATAGGTATAACTTAACATGGGATAAATCGACTTGTACGATTTTCGGAATTATCTTCAATTGGAATATTAAATTAAAATATACATGTAAGATGAAAAACCTAATCGGGGTCTATTCCGGCTTTCGCATTTAGAACATAAATTGATACTCTTAAGATTTCGACTTTCCTCTATTGATATAGTGACCTGCATTGGTAAGATTTTCCCAAGATAACCCGGAACGGCGATTAGATTAGAAACGTGCTCCGCCCACCGAACAATAGGTGGATACTGTCGAAATTGCTTATAACTAGCTAAATATTTCAAATGGGTCATTGACACCGCAGCTTAAACACATAATCGGAAAATTAAAGGTGAGCGAGATTAGTTATAGCTATTCATATTTGAATAACTAACACAATGTGGGAAATTTCGTCATTTTCAATATCTAATGACAACTTTAATCACATCTAAGTCTAAATTAAACATGAATATAATAAACGTATTATTATTAATTTAGTGTATTTTATTACAATGTCAAAACTGACATTGTAATAAAATACAGTAGTACAAACGTACTCATGCAGTCGATTTGTATTAAATGATTTAAGTGATTAAATGCTTGATCGCCCCAATTTACACGATTCTGGCAGTGTTGAGAAAATGTAGTTATGTTATTGTATGTAAAGTGATGTAATTATGTAATGTTACTCATCTCACTGTTACCTAAGATTAAGGGGCGTACCTGTAAAGTGTTTGGTTGGTAAGGTCCGCTCGTTCAATAAGCAAAGAGAGAGCCCGCGCTTGCTCCCCCAGAGTCAGCAGCTCCAACTCCTCTCGTCCCACTTGGTATTGCAATTCCGCTTGCTCGATCCGCGTGTCGATGTTACTATTGATTAATATATTTTTTACTCCCTCGACAAAGTTACAAATATAAATGTAACTATCAAGACCTTTCGCTCATTAATGTCTTTCATAGATACCGGCAAACATCTTGAACAAATGTCCTTGCAATTTTTAGGTATCACTGGGTGGGTGGGCGGCAGGCGGTGGGAGAGTGACGTGTCCATCGCGTTATTGATATAAATCAGTTGACGTTTGTGTCCTGCGCTGCGCAAACTTTCCCCCACTCCCTGTTTAATGTTCAATATGTTTGCCGGTATCTGTAATAGAATATAGCAAAATGTGAGTGCAGCGAAAGGCTCGCCAAAGACCATACACTTTTTCTTAGTACACAGCTCCTTTGTATGTTTACTAACTTACTCCGTGACATGTGTCTTTTCAAGCCGTCTCCGCAACTCTTGTATGTTGGCTCGCCTGGCGTCAAGCTCTGCACGAACTGTGGCCGCCCTTTCTTCCAGCGCTCGCTTTTCATCCGCAGATATAGATGCAGGGCATTCTTCAGAATTTCTCAGAGGCTTTGGTGATACAGCTTCAGTTGCTAAGCGGGCTGCACTTAACGATGCACTCAGTTGCCTTTTGAGACTAATCAAAAAATAAATATTATAGATGCATTAAAAAACCGTATTCACAAGTCCAACTGACATACTTATGTATCAAGGTGTCTTTGTCAGCAAGAGCTCCACGCAATACTTCCAACTCGCGTGTAGAGTCGCGTGCGCCCGCGCTGCGTCGCCGGGACCCGCCCAATGACACCTCGATGCTGGCCATCTAAACGATATAAATAATTCACCATCGTGCATAGAAAAAAAAGTAAAAATACAAATGCATGGCATATCATCTGTTAATTTGTCGATAAAACATCATATCATCATCTTTGTGGATGAAACTTCAAATAAAGAACATCTGAAATCTTTACCCGAAGGAACCCCCTTTACCAAACAATTACTCATTTGCGTTTAATTCTATTTGCTATAAATTTAACGATACAAAACGTCCGAGTTATCCTGTATTGTGACTGCACGCAAAGGATAATTAAAACGACATACATGATAAAAGGCGGTGATCGTGATAGATTAAAATGGATTGATAGAGCCGGTCTTACTTGTTTTTGCGATCTTTAAGCGCATCAATCGTCTGGTGCTCACAGAAGTGAGCCGTGAGTGAGCAGACATGACTAATTGCTTTTACGCCTTTTGACTAAGAGACAGCGAGGTAGCAGTTCAATTACTTCATCATTGTTCAATTAAGCTGATAAGATATATATTTGAACGTTGAGAAACAACAAAATATTGAGAAATAAATTCTCTTTGTTTGAAGACGACATAAAAATTGACTTACCAAATCAATACTGTATTAATTAAAAATGAATATATAATATAAATAATCAATGAAATAATAAAGAATTACATTAATATTTGTAATTTTTAAAATAATATATCCAAAAGTAACGAGGGCCAGTCGTGTGAATCGAAGCGTGCGCAGGAAGGCTATAATAACATTTCCAACTTCCACCATCACTTAATTTAGTAAATGCTATACCTGTCTGGAATTAAATATAATCAAAAGTTTCACTATCTGTGGAAAATTTTAAGAAATCATCTATTTGCTGCGTACGGCAGATCTATGAGTGGTCCGTTGTGTATAATCTTTTACGTCTCATAAATTAACGAAAAGTACTTTGGGAAAGTTACGAAGCTTGAGGAAATTTAAATAAATTGAAAAAACACTTCAAATCTGTTTTGAAACAACGGTTTTGTAGACGTAATATTATGGTACATTAACATATAATAGTATAATTATGTTGTTCCATACACATTACACATGTAGGGAAACGTAGTTTACACAGAAAAAAGAACCGCTTCCCGACTACCCAGTTAGATTTGAATTACATCTTTCACACTTCTCTCTTCTATCTTAGATTGAAAGATTGCACATTGCACAACTTATTTGCGGAAATTGCATTTGCGGATTGTAATCTAATTGTTAAGCACAATATGTGGGAAGATACAGCCTTGATTTTTATCATCTAGCTATTATATGTGCGTACTGTAGGTTATTCATAAATTTTATAATACTTATAATTTCAAAACTGTATGCTTTTTCGTTCCTAATATATAAGCTGGCATGGGGTTTTAAAGTGTGGAATTTACGCGAATCATTAAGTTGTGAGGCGATCGCGAGGTGCAAACAGGTTATCTTTGAGCAGAGTGCACAAAGTAACACTATGCTATTTAAGGGAATATCATAAACATTCAAAATTACCACTGATACATTTAGGTGGCATGTTATAGAACGCGGTGTTGCGCAGTTGTTAATGTCTATGGTAATAGTAAAGGAACCATCTATATCTTGTTAGGACTTAGTGCATCCTAGGACCGTCGATTACAATTTAGAATTCTACTTTTACTTTTGATCCCCTTATAAAATATACCTACAAGCGGCATTCGTACTTTCCAGTTTTCCACGTCTCTTTATATGCAAATTAAAATTATTTACATAACTTGCACGTCTATTGACTACATTAAATCTTAGCAACCTTTAATAAAGACATTTCGTCCTAAGAGTTTGTTATTTTCAGAAATATTTTACAATATAATCTATGTAATAATGTGATTAAATACACGCCATATGCATTCGCTGCAAGTGCAGGATTTCAGCCATTATAATTCATAAAGCCGTTTTATATTCAAGTTAACATCTCCATTTTCAAAGGTAAAAAATTCGTTTAGTACAAACACAAAAACTTATTTTTGTTGAAGTAAACTAATTTTTTTGTATCATAATTTCATATTTACTCAATAATTCTATTATATTGTGATTTCTCACTTTTATAAATCAAAAATATTATGCTGTATCTTAACTTCGTGTTCTATCAAATAGAAATACGGACCCAGCAAAAATGGTGCGAACCACATTTTTTGTAAAAAAAACTTAGGTTATTGTAATTCAATTCAGCTTCACTTTTTCCGTTAAGATTGATGATGTTCATTAATAAATTAATAGACGGGCATCTAATGGACGTAGCCTTAGGCTTTACTTAACCGCTTTTTATGCATTTAAAAAGGAAATTATAGGGTTAGTTCTTATATTTGGTCCTAGGCAGGTTGACCGCCACTGTATCTACCATATTAATGTTATAGATCAAATAGATTTAACGCAATTATTTACATTATACTGTAATGCTAAAATTGTTACTTCATTTTTAACTTTATTTTAATTTCAAGATTAAACATTAACTAAGCAGTGTATAGTAAACAATAAAAACAATCACAAGTCCCGTTTTAAAACAGATATGGTAATCAGAACTTTAATCAACGGATGAGAACCGTATATTAGACATTAGTTTTGCAGAGAGTATGCAATTAGTCTCGCAGTGTTTAGTGCGTCGCTACAGAGTATAAACAATTACATAAAGATACAATCAGTACTTAGTTATCTTGAGAACCATACTGTCAACCCAGCTTTGAACTAGCTTATCTGTATCAATAAAATAAATAAATAGGTGGCGCTACAACCTTTTTGGGCCTGGGCTTCAGATTTGTGAGTCTGTTTCATAATCATTTGTCAATCTAATAGGCAAGTAGGCGATCACGCCGTCGAATTTTTGGGCTTAAGGCAAGCCGGTTTCCTCACGATGCTATGATCGAGCGAATGTTAGATGCGCACATAGACAGAAAGTCCATTGGTGCAGAGCCGAGGATCGAACCTACGACCTCAGGCTGAAGCCACTAGGCCTACACTGTTTTTGATTATCTATATTAGGTACGATTATACAACACGCCCTTTGTTAAATTAGGTTTTTTTTTATTTGAATCAAATTTGTTATCAGCACAAGTATGATACGAGTTTTTCAGAAGATATTTTTGATTGGGATTACTATGAATCTTTCCCAAAAAATTATATTGGTTACCTTGGCCTCCAGATTATCAAGGTTGACGACCCCTCCTGTCTCCAGGGCTTGCTGCAACAAACAGACCACTTCATGTTAATTAATGTTTAAGTACAACCACAAAGCTCCCTTGTACTTTCGCTCTGTTTCGGCATTTCACTGCAAGACAATTCGTATTCAAAATATATAAAAACAAACGCTAGAGCTCAATAATATCTCGCAAGCCGATCGAATTTTTCTTCACTTCCAAAAATATTGCAGGACGACTACTTTGACGAAAATAATATTTGTTAAGCTACATACCATTATTTCTTTCTAGTTTCTTACTTTAAAATATACAGAAATTACACATATACATCTATGTTCTACACAGTGGCGTTTGCTACTTTTAGATAGTAATTAGTTTTTTGCAGAAGCACGTGTGAAACTAGGAAGCATTGCATGACCATTCTTGTCTGTGGACGGCATTTGTCGATATGCGGTACGGAGAATTTCACATTTCTATAGCAATTATTATCAATCGCAGGTTCTACGTAAGGACTGCATGCATGCATATTATGAAGTTTAATGTAGTACTACTAGTACATACCTAATTATAAAATGAGACATTTCTCTAAATGATATACTTTTAAATTGGGATGTAGCAGAGTTAAAATAACTCCTCCTTTCTTGGCGAATCCTTTAAGGTCTCTGCAGTTAAGCTATGGAACTCACTTCCAGTCCCTATTCGCTTAGCTCCTTCTCTATCTTCCTTTAAATTTCTTCTGTACAAACATTACCTGTCCACATCGTATCCCTAACTTTAATAATACCTACTAACCGACGTGAGACTGATCTAAATTAAATTAAAATGATTCATGTGCACTTTTTATTATTATTTTTTTCATGTATGTATCCTTTATTAGTTTAGTTTGTTTTTTTTTGTTCCTGTTTAGTTTCTTTTTCTTTTTGCCTACCTTATGTAATTTAATACATTTTCTTTTTTCTTTTCTCACCTGGTTGCCTGGAAGAAATCGCTCGAAAGCGATAAGGCCGCCAGTTGCCTTTCCTTTACTTGTAATTTTGTTAAATTTTTATATCATAAAGCAACAAAGTGTAAATAAATAAAGGATAATTTGAAATTGTGTGTCTTGTATTATTGTTTTTAAATGTCTTACTAGAGAAGTCGATCGTTGCTGCTTGCTGAGGTCATGTTGCGTGCGATCCTCGCCCGCATCAGAATATTGACCCGACTTGCGACTGCAATAAATGGATAAAATTAAATTAAATTCTACGTGTATGTGCCACAAATAGCAATAGAAATAATAATTATCAATAATGAATATCTACGAACAGTGTTCCTTCCTAGGAAAGTATTGTTTATACTTTACTATTGTTTGTTTAGCGTCGTTATAAGGGTTGTTAATTACAGATTTTGATGTAAGAATTTATAAAAATAGTTCAGTAATTTTCGATCAAACAAATATACATACAGACCGAGTCTCTTCATGTTTATAAGGTAGATAAAATCTACCAATTACAATATGATTAAGGTGAGAAGTTTGATTTTAATTATTTTTCTTTTTGCTTACTTATCGGTATTTCAATACGATTGGTTCTGTTTCAAAAAGAGAATCTACCAATAGGTAGAAATACTTTGACGAATCCAATTACCATTACATACCAATACATATTTATTTGCATCAAATTTGGTTGTACCATTGCAACCGTTGATGAATAATATTCTGTATAACAAATCTAATTTAATAATACCTGGCAAGTTTCCTGTGAGCTCGCCGACCACCGCTGATCATGGAGAGGGTGCTCATCACCGCCGACATCTTCACCACTCTCCACACTCATGGAACCTGAATAAGGTAACACATACATTTTAGGATAACATCTAACGTCATATACCTATATAATTTTATTTTGAATAAAAACTCTGCAAAATAGCAGTTATTATCCATTTTAATACTTATAGCAGGATTAAATGTTATTGATAAGACTAGCGGACCCGACAGACGTTGTCCTGTCTTAACTATGAATATTTATTTCGAATTGGTATAATTAACCAAAAAAATATTTCAGAAACAAAGTGTTTATTGTTCTAATGCTTTATGATATAGAACATTCTTTGTTTGTTTTTTTGGCGCGTATATAAATAGTTTTGTTGGTATTCCGACACGAATGTATTTTATCAATATAATATGTTATCAATATATATGCAATGTTATCTCAAACGCCATAAGGTTACCACAAAAACCTTTGAATTGTAAAAGCGATATGCACTGAAAAAAAAATTTGCTATCGTAACAAAAGTCAGGATTACTTAATATGGTGCTTAAGTATTCTTAAATTTTCAAATTTTTTTTCTTTCATAAGACCTTTTTCTGACAATAACAAACACAACAAAAAAAGAATTAGCGAAATCGGTCAAGCCGTTCACGCGTGATGCCGTGACCAAGGGAAATAGGGATTAATTTTTATATAATATATAGATAGACCCATGTTTAGATTCATTTTTTATATGATGTGTCTAATAAGTAGTCAGGTAGAACATTAATGCCATAGGTAGTAGGGAACCGACGCTACACACAACAAATGATACAGCGTAATTCCTATAATTGCTGAACACATCAAACCTTACACAATGCCCAAGTAGGCATCTAAGACCGCCATTTGTTACACAACTCGTGGAAAACGTTTAATTTAATAATTACTTCACAACACCTCATATTACACGCTATTCTGTTTATGACTCAGCTTCATGGGAACTACCAAACTTTATACGTAATGAAATTTTTAAAATAAACATTATTGTTAGAATAGGACAGTGGTAATATACCCAGAAATAATTTGGGGTAAAGTTCGGAGACGAGACTTAGGCAAACGGCTCTTATAAGTCAAAATTGAATACGTTAAGACACGTAAGAGTTGATTTTCTATACAATTATATATATAATCATATTCACCAAGTTCCTACAAAATTTACATTGAATGGGCATAATATGGAGTATTACAGGTAGGTAATGTTTATCTGATTACCTAGGACACCTCGCCGATTATGGTAACTTGGAGTTCTTTAACAGCAACTTCTAGAGACGTGGGTGATTCCGGACATTTGAATGTGATAATTTTTATATTTCTTTCAATGATTGAAGGCCAACGAGTTTTTGTTATGTAAAGCTCTTGAGGCAATTATAATCATGTAACTCGAATAAGTTTTTTATAATTTACCAATAGGATAGTTTCCGATTACATTAAAAGTAAATAGTCTTTAAAAAATGGTTAGTATTAATTAAATTCGTTTTTCATAGCAGTGAAAACACGTCGTTTACTAAACCATTTCCGGCTAGATAGCTTAATTACCAGCGCCCGATACAACTCACATCCCATCAATAAGGCGTTATCGCCACGTGATGAGGCACTCGTGCCTTGTCAATTGACGGTTGTCGCAAATTATCTTTGATATGTGTACCTTGGCGACGTCTACTTAATCGTATACTTTGTCTCTACAAAACCGCGTGCATTAATTAATGCCCGTCTATCTATACGAATATTGCAAAGCTGAAAAGTTTAATTGAACGAGCTTCCCTAAGAAACTACTTGTTAAAATTGAAGAATTGTTCTAAAACATCACATCACGTACCAATAGGAACTGAGCATAAAGCAAAATGAATAAGTATCTTATATTGGGAGATAGCATAGTTTAGAAATAACTCTGCAACTAGTCAGTTTATTGCATGCTATCTTTGTAGTTATTATTAGTTCATTAAAGTTATTTTTGAATTCACGTGTAACTTTTGATGCAATAACATGGAAATTTAAACTTACTGGTTTATTTTAAATATAATGTGTTAATTTACAAAATTGAAAACATTTTAAAAGTGTTGATCCTAATGTAGAAAACAATTATTCTTGGAAAGGTAATGAATTTTAAAGGCTAGTTATTATTGAATCATAATGTTCGGATAACTGTGACCGTTTCTCACCAAACTCGAACAACATTGTTTGACAATAATAAAACACGCTAAGTGTCCAAATAAGTCTCTCACACTCATAAATCTCGCCACACAATGAAACCATAAATTTTTGTCTAAAACCACAATTTCCGTTTAAGCAATCAGTACCTATACAAATAATGATAGATAGATTTTACAAAGTATCTACAAGATTGCTGACCGCTTTCAAATTGAGTTTCAAAATGTTATGTTAAGAATTACTTTTTCGGACAAGCTAAAGTAACAAATTTTCATGATACCGATAACAATACACAAACCGGTCCGGCGATGCTGCGATGGGGCTGTTTGGTTTGATATTATTTTTTTTATTCAAACAGCGTGCATCAAAAGAGAAATTTCTTGTAAATCAAGTATGGGGTGTTATCATAATATATAAGGGACAGGAGCTACTTTGTCTTTTGTATTTTAATTATGTATAAGGAAATTAAGTATATTCTGGTTTCGCCTTAATTACTGTAGAAATGCGCTGAACAAGGAAATCATCGATTATTAGAAATCGAGTGCGAAATACGACTAGAGTGCGAGTTTGTCGCGATGTCACTACCTGCCATTCACCGCAAATCGTTTCACTTTGCTTCGCATAAAAAAAAATTGCCAAAGCATTCATGCACTGAAGTTAGAGATAGTCGTATTCAAATGTCAAATGGATATCAGTGTGCTTCTGTGCAAAGTTTGAAAGCGAGAATTATATCTATTTAAAGGAAAAATTGTATTTTATATTATGTTACATATACATTTTTAGAACAATTAACAATGAAAACTATTAAAACACACGCGTTAAAGGTACGTTGCCACAGGGACTAATTTTTAATTTGTGTTTTCTCTTTATTCATTTTTAATCATTATTTTTATTCATATGTAGGTTAAGAATATTGTCAAATACTAACTATTAGGTTAAGTAATAATAATAATCTATAAAACAGATACAGAAATGTGCCTGTCCCATAGTTAGGTTAAAGAAATTAATGATGATGTTGTACTCAGACGTAACGGTATTTTAGCATCTCTAAACTAAAACATCTGATATTTATAACGGAAATAAATAATGCATTATGGGATTAAGATTGAAATTAGTAGTAGACAAGTGCCAGAGCAGTTAAGCGTGACTACAGGTGCAGGGCGAAGGGAGGACCGACGGAGCATAACGCGTTATTACCTGGCTCCCACGACTCACTCTGGAACATCGCTAAGCTCCGCTATTTCGAAAGCATCCTGTTTTTGTTTTATTACCCTAACAGCCTCAAGGCTGTAAGCTCAAATTTTAAACATTTGTAAATTCCTAGCTCTTTCAAGTTCCTAGATGGAATACCATTCAATAATCCTGCTACACGTGCAAGCCTAAACGTAACGATTATGGTTACGAATGTCTGGCTGCAAAAACACATATTCATTTCATATAATTTGTCCCCATTATGACCACTAAACAGGTATTTAATAAGCCGCGCGAGTGACGCGTGCTGTTTCAAATATAGCTCCTAATAACAGTATCAATACGAATACATCTAAGCTATTTATTTTGTGATTACGATTATTTTAAAGACGTTATATTATTGACACAATATATTATCTATATTTTCACCATTTTAATTAAACCAATGACGTAGTTATATTAACTAAGATAACTTATATTGCGTAACTAATAAATTATTATATTAAATGAGTCCTTGCCTTAATATCTAAACGGTAACGATCGAGATCAGTGATCTTGTTATATTCGCTTTCAAATGAAATAGAAACTACAGCAAAAAGCAACACGTAAGATATATTATTGTATTTATACCTAAGATATTTCACCCATACTTTCTGCGTAATGAAAGACTGCGATATCACGCACGCTCATCATAATGATATACCTATAAATTTACGGCCAAATACTCTTATTAAATATCAGCGTATTCGCGGGTAGATTTATTTTAATGTTAATAATAATTTAATCCAATGTGGCTCAATACAGTCAGCCGGACATGAATGAAGTCCTCACGGTACAACATGTTTAGCCGGGCTTGAAGCAGTAACGACTAACGATAAGGACCCTCGTGTACGAAGGGAATGTAATGCATTCGCCAACCTGCGGCCTTTTACCGGTAATGAGTATGAAAACGCTCTGTAACCAGTCTGGAGCATAGGTGAACTTATTTAATATAATTATAGCGTTCGCGACTAAAAGTTTAAGTTAAAAATTTCAATTCGAGTTTCTTTATGCATGAAGTTAAACGGAAAACAGGTAGCCATAACTTTTATTCGGGATCAATAACTTTTAAATGTATTTTCAATTTTGTTATCAAATACTCAACTGGAAAGTCGTTTAAAGAAATAATTTGCTCATTCGACATTCATTGATATTCCTAATTTATGGGAATTTACGAATTAAGCTAAAGATTTACGACTTAAACACTTAATAGTTCACGCATCATTAAAAAATGTTATTTATATTATTGTAGGTGGATAACATATATGCAAATGCAATAACCAATCCATCCTCACAAGTATAAGTCTCAAGCCTTAGATATTTAATTGCCCATTCGGCCCAATTAATGTGACATCATATTAATAGCTAGGAAATCATTAACATTTGAATAAAAATAAAATATGAAACAATGAAACGGACAGTGGCTCAGCTGTTATAAATTGAAATAGGATATAGTAAGTAGATGGATTCTATACATGTGAAATGGTAACACGCGTTTTTTATGTAACTTAATAGCGGCAGAGTTTGTTGATGTCAGTTAGATTAATGACTCTAGCATTGTAGAGCGGGCCGTGCATGGCGGCCTGCATTATATTTTACCATTTTTATAAACTGGTTCCACGGCAAA